ATATTTTGTTTAATTCAATATAATATTTTTTAAATATTACATTATTATTAAAAATATAATATTTTATTTTATTTTATAATAATTACTATAATTTAAATAAAATTATTGATGACATGGCTCTTTATTAAAATATAATATTTATAATAATCATGATATACTATTAATATATTCAATATTATTAATTAAAATGTATTATTAAATAATATATTATATTATATTAATTTTATACATATTTGTTAGACCCTAAGGCCGCTAGGAAAGAACCCTAGAGGGGGTGAATAGGTTTATGCTAATCTAATCCGATTTTATGTCAATTAAAACTAATTAACAAATATATCCTAGTAAGTATGATATGCTACAAGATATGTGCAAGGATATACAATATAACAAGGGTAAACAATATGATCATGCAACAATGACGATATAACAATATGCAATAATAAATGCGCCAATGCCAAACCCAAACACAAGGAAATGATCACAGAGTTCGGACCTTCCGTCCTACGTCTCCGCTCCTCACTCCCGGGGAGAATCCACTACACAACCCGGTTTGGAAGCCGGAATTTCTCTACACACTCGGTTTTCTCCACTCCCGGGGAGAATCCACTACACAACCCGGTTTGGAAGCCGGAATTTCTCTACACACTCGGTTTTCTAGCTAACCGAAAACTCTACACACTCGGTTATCAAGTCAACCGACAACTCTCACAAATCCTCACAATGTACATACACAAGCTACAACCTCAAGTGTTGGTCCTCACGTATCGAGTCCCTCAAGTGCTCGAAATTATCACCTCTCACTAGGCCACCGACGCCACTCCTCTTGGTATCAACTCCGTCCTCACCACACACTCCTCTCGGTGTACAAGTGTATTACAAAGTGAACTTCACAAATTAAGCACAACAAATGATTGTTCTCTAAACAAGGTGAGAACTCAATTAGGCTCAACTCAATGTTACTATCTCTCACAACCTCAAATATATTATGAATGCAAATACAATAAGCTCAAGTGGGTGTGTGCAACAATGAGATTAATCAAATCTAAACTCAATATAAAACTAGCTTTAATATGATGATAATCAAACAAATAAATATAAAGCTAGAAAAGAGTTTAGAAAACTTCTCAATAGATGACAAGAGATGGAGGGAGGATAGTTGATTGCTCAAACTCCAATAGATGATCTCCTCAAGCTCTTGTGGAATTAAATTCACAAACTCAAACTCTTAATTGCTTAAAAGTTTTTTAAACAAACACTAAACAAAACTTAAACCATTGTTAAAACTTTGTTAAAACATTCTCTTGTATTAACTAAAAAATGAGAGGAATTGGGTATTTATAGGAACCCAAAACTTCAGCAAAAAAACCTTAAGAAAAAGGCCAAAAAAGCCCCCAGAAAACACTGCTGGAAACTAGTCGTTACTGTGCAACGGCTCTTTCATAAGTCGACTTATGAGTCGACTCATGAGTCGGCTTATGAGTCGACTAATGAGTCGGCTTATATGAGTCGACTCAGCAGAAGAAAAATCACAACTCCGCTGCACTTCTTGAGTCGACTTATGAGTCGACTAATGAGTCGACTAAACATGCACAGACCTGAAGTGCACAGAAAAACTTAACTTTAAACTGGGTTTAAAAATATCAAATAAATTCAGAAAAATATAAAACTTTGGAAAATGGTTGTAAACATGATAATACACATGCTATAAAAATTGGTTTTCAAAAAGGACCTCCCAAATGAGAAATATCATCATTTTGTAAAATAGTCCAAAACATAAAAATGTGAATATATGAGTTTTGACATTTTTAGCTTAACAATGTTTTGAAACATTACAAAATAATTTTATAGACTTAAAGAAAGATATAAACTATTATTATGAAGTCTATAAACAATGAATATAATATTTTCACAAATACAATAGAATATGAAACAAATAAGTATGTATATGAATATATATTTGTTTCATATCTATGAAATTAAACCAAAACAACTTATCCACATAGAAAACAAACATGTATACATAATTTTTGGAATTTATTTGTAAAAACTTTGTTTGTGGATAAAACATATGTATATAACTATATATATATATATATACTAAGAAACTAATAAATGTGTGTGTGAATATAATATTGAGCTTAGAGTATATAACACACATAATATAAACCCTAAACTAAATTACCCAAGCTTGATCTTGATCTTCATTGAAGCTCAACTCGCCATCACCGACCCCCTCCTCCTCACCACCGCCCGAAAGCGCCGCCGCCCAAGCTCGGCCAAGCCCTCGACGTCCCCGTTCAGCGTCGCCGCCGTCCCCTTGCCCTAGCCATCACCTCCCCTCCTCCTCTCCAGCTCCCGAGATCGCCGCCGCTGAGCGTCGCCGCCGGGTCAACGCCGTCTACTCCTCCTCGCCATCGAACTCACCCCTCGTCATCAGCCACGCCTCTGATGGCATTTGAGCTCAGCCCTCAGGTTCATCGCCGCCTCCGGAGCTCGACCAAGCCCTCGACGTCTGC